TTTGACGTAAATATGACAAGCAATCGGCTGATCGGCTCTGTCCACTTTGTATATCTTATGTACATCTGTTTGATAGAAAGTAATTGGCAAATCAAAATTTTCATTATTGGAAAAAAATTAACTTAAAAGTTTCACGACGTGACAAAATTGTATCAAACGTATAAAGTTATATAGAAATGGTTTACGAACCATCATCAATTGGTCTCATACTTAAAAATCGAACCAATTAATTTCAATTGTGATTTCAACTGATCACAAGTAAAAAGTGAAAAGAGGGATTTCTGGAGCTAACAGAATACGAGCTGCTGAAATACATGTAGAACTGTTTCAACACGTGGAAAAAAGTGAGATTAGACTTTTATTGAATTAGAAAGTCCAATAATGATAGAGGTTAAAAGCCCACATGACATGAAACGTGAGGGTTTCATGGTAGTAGTATAAAAGGCAAAAAGAGTTACGCACCTAGGGTTCCTTTGTGAGATGGACACATGTGTGTGTGGCGTCGTCCCACCATGTTGATGGTGGTTGTTAATGAAGATTGCAGCCGTTGACAAGATGGTATTGCACCAGTGATGCTGGTTTGTAGTCAAGCATGCGTGCTTGGTACTTTTCTTCATAGTTTTTCATGTAGAAAAGAGTGGTGGTATGCCATATAGCAATTGTAGGTTGCGGCTTTTTCTAATTGATTGATTCTGGACTAGACGGGGATATAGAAAAACCGAATCTTGTGAAAAAACTGTGGTTTTTATTTTATGATCATACATACTCGTTACAAACACAAACGTAGAGACATGGCTGGCCCTGAGTATTGGGCTGCCTAAAGTCCAAAATTTTTTTGATGCCCTATTATAAACACAAATAAAAAAATTACTTATATTTCACAGTCTAAGATTCAAACTCATTACCTGTTGTAAGAATTTTCCATGTTTTACCACTAGGTTACAAAGAACTCTTAGGAAAATGATGCCCTTAAAATTAATAAGATATATTGATGTCTAACGTCGGATGCGTCACCGGCGTTAGGTCAAGACCGGCCCTGCGTAGAGATCTAGCCACAAACCATTTTTTCATAAAGTATATATAAACCCTGCATTTCTTTTTTTTCTTTCTCTAGAAGACTTCTCATATAGCGCTATACATACAAAACACACACACGAACGTTTGTATATTTGCATGTGTGTACGTATATATAGAAACTTAAAAAATTTAAAATCTGAAGAGATTAAAAAACTTCAATTTCTCTCATTTTTCTCTTTAGTAAAAAAACATGTAGCTCTAAAATGTATCCCTTTTTGGG